CCTTTTTGGTTTCAGTTTGTGTGAATATCGGTAGATTTCATTGATGTTTGTTTGATTTACCAGCGAAAATCACTTGTTTTCAACCAAACTGACTAATGGGCAACTGACGTATAAACATGGGCACCTGTGATTGGGTGTCAGGACTTCATGGGACACCCATGTTTGTCCGCAAGAATCATCTGCAAATTACAACACGCCGAAATCGAGCTCCCAAGCAGGTCCGTTGCCTGCAAATGCTTTGTGCATCATGGCAACCCTCAATGGTCCACTTCTCTGTTTTTTCAAACAAATCGGAGAGCCAGGGATGGCTTGCGGCACTTCCGCTCCTCCGATGGCTTGCCAGGCGCCTCACGGACCGCGCGGGGTGCGCGTTGGCGGAGGCGCTGGGACGGCTGACGAGGCTCCGGCGCCTGGAGCTGCGGCTGTCCTCCGGGCCACAAATCACCGACGTGGGACCGGCACTGGGCCGGGCAAAAGGGGGGGTGGAGGACTGGAGAGGTTGAGGTTGGGAGGGGGAGTTCATTACCATTTTCAGGTCGAAAATGGAGGGTTAAAGCCCAGCGTCCACAAGATAATTGTAGAATAGGCTCTGTGTGTCTACCATGTTGGTGAGCCGGCGGGGACCAGCCCATTCTAACATATTCTAATGTGTCAGACCTAATTTGATCCACCTTGCAAGATCAACCCAAAGGCCGGACGGGATCGGCTTGCTGCATCGAACAGCCGGGGATAGAAACGGGTGATTCCGGTTGCGATGAATGCTGCTTTTTTGGGCTTCCTTGCTTCCAGTTTCTAAAACTCGGGTCAACTGTAGTAGTTGTATGCTTTCTCTCCTACAGATCAACCCAAAAATGGCAACATTGTCCAACGTGTTTCCTTTCACAATGAGGAGTCCCTCATTTTTGGAAATACCGGGATTAGGACGATCGGAGGAACCCGCAGGCCGATCAAGTGCGAGCTCAGTCATGGATCATCGGTAGGCTTCAGGATCCAACACCCACCAGGAACTCCTCGCGAGCAGTTTCGAAGGGTTTTCCCTGTGCTTTCCGCTTCACAACACCTCCAGTCAGGTTCCATTCGCGGAAGTGGAAGCCTATACTTGCATGCCTTACATTGGTGCCCCTGTTGCTGGAAGCGTACATGTGTGTATGTGTATATATGTATATATATATATATACATATATATATATATATATATACATATATATATATATATATATTTGTATATATGAATATACCTCTTTTGTACCATAGGTTGGTACATGTTGGTACCCCAGGGGTTTCTGTGCATCGTGATTCGGGGCGAGGAGTCCAGGCGCTGGGCAGCGTCCTGGAGCGGTGTGGCCAGCTGCGGTCGTTGTCGCTGGACATCAGCCAACGGGACCGGTGGGGCCAGATCTCCGAGGTGGGACGTTTTGGTCGTGGGCCATGAACCAGTCAATGCCGTGGCTGTGTGGAAATTGGGGGTTAGGGTCACTTGTGATGCCCTTGGCAAATCCGCATGTATGGGAATGGCTCGCTTTGGCATCGAAGAAAGGGCTATTCCCCACAACCATGTTGGGGAGGTTGCAAGAGCAAACTAGGTGAATGTATCTGAAAAGGGGGGTTGGAGCCCGAAGGCCTAAGCATTTGGGAGGCATCCCTTCGGGGGTGGGGGGAATTGACCCTGAAGACTGGGGAAGGTGCCCTCGGAGCTATTTTGTTTTATGTAGGTCTCGGCAATTCTTGATAACCTGTGTACGACCGGGTTTGGAGTTCTTTTTGAAACCAGCTCACGACGATTCCTTTCTTGAGGGTCATTTACTCACCCAGATAGTTGTTTGGGTTCCATGTCTAAGCCCCGAACCTCTAAATCATTTCAGGGTCCTTGTGCCACCTTTGTCGGACCAGGTTGGATAACGCCCAAATTCGGGGGCATGGAATTTGACCGACGGTTGCGCTGGCCTTCCGGCAGGCGGCTTGCGCGGCCTTGGCCCAGGCCTTGGAGAAGATCCGACCCGAGAAGGCCACGAATTCGCGAATCCGCGCGAATTCCGGGGCTCGGTTTTCCCCTTGGGGGGTGTCAAGTCACATCCGAATAGCTCCCGCTCGCCCGCCCCAGCTGTGACAGACCAGACTTTGGAGAACATCCCTTTGTAGTTGTACGTCCAGGGGGGGGTCCACCCAACATGCCATGCAGCCGAGCAGTACTCATTTGGATGGTGGCTGTAACCACAGGAGATAGTTGGCCGGCAGGCCGAGTTGGCATGCTTTCTCAACGGCTTCAACCCCCTCCTATGGACATAAGGCCCTCTTCACGTCAATTGGTCTCGAAGTGCGAGAGTCAGTGACGTTTTAGTTTGCTTTTGTTTGCCTTCACCTTACAAAACATAGGTTGGTGCTGGCCACAAATGGCCATGGCCAGGCATGGCTCGTTTAGCTTGTTCATTTAGGACCCGGTGCTGGTGTCAAGCGTTGTTTTTCAGGGACTTGACGATTCACTGAGCCCGATTCAAATTGACAGAAGGAAGCCCAAAATGGGGGTCGCCCACATATATTTTCCCAAAATTAGTCTTGCCTTGCATGTTATTTGCAGATGATACACCGTGCATGGTGAATATGCCTGGCATATATTTTCCAGTGGGCACCAGGCTCAACAACATCTCTCCTAGTTTAACAGGCATCTTATTTGTTTGGATGGTTTTGATTCAAAGGGACACCAAAGGAATCGCCTAGCAATGGGGGCTTGGTTGGCTTGCCTCTCGTGTCAGGTGCACATCAGCCTTGCCTCCAGCAGCAAATCCCTTCAGCGAGTTTTGAGAAGTTTGCATCCGGAGGCTGCCGATGCAGCAGAAAGCTGGGAGCTTGAAGCGTAGGTGCTCTTTTTTACAGCGATTATTTTTGTTTTTAAACAAAAAAGAGAGAATCACTTGTGGCCTGACTGAACCGAAAGGAAGGAACTCCAATACCCAGCTTACTCCTCCAATTCCCAACTTTCAGCTTATGTGGGAAGACTGGGGGGTTCAAACAGTTTGAGCTGGATATCTCGGGATTTGGAGACGAACGTATTTCCCGGCCAAACGCACACGGAAGGTCAGCCCCCGAAGAAGGCCCTGGATTTGTCCCGAAAGCTTAACCAACATTGCTCCAACAGGCGATGCACAGAAACGATCTAGGGACCCCTGCCCAACCCGCACCAACGATTCTTCTGAAAGTCAACACAGAACCCAGTAGCACCCATCAACGTAGAAGAAGTTGATTCTTAGAATTTTGAAGCAAGAGTTGCTGCACCGATCCCAACAACTAGACTACCAGTTTACCACTCCAATATGGCGACCAATCTTAGGCTGACATCCCGCTCTTGCGGCCCATTCAACCTGTGAGGAGGTGAAGGCTATCAGATACCTGATCCCCACATTCCAACAGGCAGTCCTTTTGCATCCCAGTGCTTCCACTCAAATAGGTTGCCATTATAGTTTTTCAGTGGGTAACCAGGAATCGCTACCTCTAGGTTTTTCATGATGGCGAAACCCTCTAGTCATTGTAGTCCTAATTGGAAGTATTGCTTGAATGTCCGGAGCTGTTCATGAACCATGTCTTCGCTTAGTCCCGGGCCCCCCGGAGACCACGGATGCGCATGGCTCGCAAACGACACCAAGTGAGGACTCGCAGGAACCTCTCCTAAGGAGAGGGATAGTGTGAGCTGATACGTCGAAAAAGGAGAGCGCCTTTTCGCTTGGTTGCACTGTGGCTTGACTTGGGACCTCTCAACGTTTGTACTTAAACAGGTGCCTGTAACAATCGCTGAACTTGTTGGCTGGGTCAAACATTTGCTCAGTCACTCCAGACCAAGACTGCCATGTTTCAGTCCTTATTCCTTTGATTGGCCAATGTTTTGTGATGAGGAGGCACCGAGTGGGTTTCATTGCTGGGTCTCGAGTCCCGACACTGGGTGTGCAGTGGTGAGAGCTTGGTGCTGAATGGTGAAGATTGGTATTTTACATATACTGGATGGACAAGACTTAGCTGGCTCACCTGTCACGGTGTTGACCTTGGTTCGAGCCACGTGCATCGAACGTCTGACCTCAGTTCCAATTCGTGGATGCCAATTATTCTCGGCGTTCCCCAGCTGCCTTGAACTCGCGGCCAACCCCACAAATGGGTGGTCTTCAAATGTTAAATGGGTACTGCCTGTCCCGCAACAAAAGATTAGCAGCGGCCAGGTTGCAAAAAGGTCGATCCTTTGCTTTCGATAGTCAAGTGTGCCACAAACTAGCAAAAGCTGAACTTTTCCGAAGGTCAATAGCCACCCTGCCTTGGTAGTTTGCCGATGGGCACATCACATTCAATTTGTGTCAGATCGGTTGGGGTTAGCTAGATTTGTTTCCAAGCGGGAGGACTGCCTTTCTTCGGGGAGGGAAGGCGGGGGATCCTTCTGGTTTCCTTCACGAGAAACACACACGCCTACACTTAGTTGATCTGAATTGACCCCAAGTGTTCGACATGAGCCTTTGTCCGCTCTTAAAATATTTGATGAAACCAAACGAGTCCAGGAAAGAGTAAATTGTGCTTCTTCCGGCGATGTTTGAGGCCTGGTCACGGAAAAGAGATACGTGCTGAGAAGGGTGCATTAAGACTATTTGTTGAGCATGTCAAGCACCATACAGTGGCATCAAGTAGTAACCTTGAATATACACGACAATTATATATGACATATATCTATATATGTATATTACAAAATATGCAATCCTGATGGTTAGGGTGCCGAACAATCACAGGCTGCGTCGCTTGACAAAAGCCCACGGGCACGGGAAATGCAGCTCTTAGGTCCCTTTGTGAGGTTTCAGGTTTAATGTGAAAGACTTTGCGTCCATGGGATTGGAGCATAGGGTGGTGTCCATTTTGTTACCCGATTGCAAGGGCACAGGTTCTCCCAACACCCGGAACCTTCCTACAGCTGGGCACCCCAGAGCCTATTTGGGCACAGACCCCAAACTCAAGACTCAACCATCTGCTGGCAGGCAGCCCCGGGGAGCCCCATGTGCCGGACCGGATGGGGTGCAACCGACTTGGACTTGACGGTTGGGTCGATGCAGATCCACGGGGCCCCGGGACTTGTGGGTTTGCAGTTCTTTGAGGCTCGGTTCCCTCTGACACGTGCTTTTGCTCACGGATCTAAGTAGAACCTGGCGGGTTTTGCTTGGGGATGCTTCCGTCTAAAAGTGATATGAATCTCCTCTTTCATAGGTTGCTGCCTCCCCCTGTACTTGCTCAAAGCAAAGGCCAGAGGGGGGTTTTCGAGGACGAGCCAACATGATTATCCCGTTGGACCCTGGAACCCCTATGGCCCATTTCCTGCTGGTTCCTGTTCAAAACTGTCAGGTCTCACATGTTCAAGTTGCAACTCGATGGCCTGGGCATCACTGACGATGCCGGGGGAGATTCGGAATGCTCCCTTGTCTAGTAAGGCAACAGCATGTTATAGCCGTGACTCAGGTGGGGCAAATTAAGTCATGCCCTCGCAGCATTTTTCGCCATGAGGCGAAGCCTAACGTGAAAGAGATGGCAAATTCAATTGGCGTGAGGTTCGATGTGGGCGTATCATGGCAACCCGATGCGACCTCGCACATGATGATGATGAAGGCTCCTTTCGTAAACGCCTTATCTCAGTCATTTTGGCTCAAGGTCATAATGTCAAGCCTGAGAGACTCGCTTGTCATCTCCTAATAATATAGCGTGATGTGCTCCCAGATGCGCGCACGGATTGCAAATGGTTGTGCATTGACAGTCATAATGCCGTTGCAGCTGTGGTATCTCAAAGAGACAAAGGTAGACGCCTTCAATTGAACTTGAAGTTGAGCTTTCGATGTTCCACGGGGCGCATTATCATGTTGATCTCCACATGCCTAGCTTAAATTGGCAAATGTGTGGTTCCTCATTTTTCCGGATTATGAGCTCAACGTATACTTAGAAGGAAGATCACGTTGGCAAGCATGATGTTTGAGGACTTGTTGTTGTACAATTTTGCGCAGTAGAGGTTTCGCGGGACCTTGAAAGGCTGTGCAGCCAGGTGTGTGCATCACCCGAGCGGAGTTGCGTTCGACCACACTGGCAGGCAGGTATGGAGTGCGAAAAGGGCTTCAATGCCCCTTTGCTGGACTTAATTTCATTTCGAAAGGGGTTGAATCTCATTTTCCAGTAAGAATCTTCGAGCAATTATCGGCCAATGGACGATTTTGAACAGCCCAGCCGTTGTGTTGCGCCTGTTTCCACGAGGTTCCATTTTGAGTCAACCATTCGCAAGCATCAGCCAAGGTCCCAGGAAGTCCTGTTTTGGAAGAAGCGAATGGTCTTCAAAGGGAAAATCATCAGACGCAAAGCACTCTACCAGGATTCCCCAACTATCAAAAGGTGTTTGTCAAGTAATCTATATGGTCTATTACAAAGGGCAGCTATTTGAGTCTGCCATTGGCCAGGGGGTACTCTTGTTGACGGTCTGTTTTTTTTTTTTTTTTTTTTCCGAAGCCCTGCGTAGATATCTCTTCATCGTGGACCAGAGCAATCACCGGGTGCAAGTCTTTGACTCCCAGACGCAGGAGGTGGGCATCAATCCAAAGATTCTTCGTGTCAGAGCTTTGAACACGTCGTGACGTGTGTGTGTGTGTGCGGAGTGACAGAATGCCCTGTCACCACCCTTTCGGTTTCTCAGCAGGGGGGCAGTGGATCGCCATCACTCACTGCCCAACGAAGACAGTGATGGTTTGGTCGTGAAATCCGGAAGGGACGCCTTCTGGCCCCCCCTGAACCGCTGTTGCTTCCTTGTTTCCCTGTTGAAGTAACTACAGGGAAGCCAAGTGACCAGCAAGCCGATGGGGTTTGTCCCCAGTTGTACTCGAGACTCATCAGTTGTACTCGAGACTCATCAGTTGTACTCGAAAGATTAGCACTCTCCATTTGGAGTTTAAGTGTGTACACCCCATTCGTGGGGAATCCTCGGGTGTACCCATTGTGTGACCCCGGGCCGGCTCTGTCGGAAAATTTGACCTCAACGTGCTTATCATAGAACAGCGGAATTTCACATTTAACCAGGAACGAGGTCTCACTAAAGGGAAGACAGCGGTCAGATCATAGAGACGTCTCACCATCGATGTTTGCTTGCCATTTGTTGGATTCGTTGATACCTTGCCGTTGCATGGATTTGCTTGTTGTCTGATACGTGTCTCTCAAGATGGAAGCGTGAAGATTGAGAGTCGATTGTGTAACCATGTCTCGACGTGATGATCGTGATAGATCCAGGACTCGGCGCAGACGTGATCGGAGTACTTCTCCTCAGGCTCGTAAAGCACACCGACGTGAACACAATGACCACCACGTCTCGGAAGGCATGGATTGGAACAACCTGGTATCTTGGCAACACAATTCCGGCTACAACTCTGCCAACAATTTCCCGATGATGCCCACCAATTTTCAATCGACTCACAGTCCCACACAGCAATTCCAACACCCAGCGATCAACTACATGATGCCGATCCCTCCAGACCCCACGCCAACGAAGTTCATGCCACCCGTGATGCCACCACCGGTCACTACTTCGCAACCTACACCGCCACCTGGACCTCCTGCGGCTCTACCGGTTCGCCCTCAGAAAGCCTGGCTTACACCATCGCCTGACTGGACACCTGGAGATGGCATGTTTGATGTCAATCAGCTCTACAACTTTAGCCTGCCCATGACCGTTGCCAACACTCCGCATGGCAACCTGCGCGACATGTCAGGCATGGATATTCGTGACGTTCGCCTGGTTCAGGTTATTCATGGGGGCCTCACCAACTGGCTGCTCCGACCGTTCGCTCACGGCAGATTCGTGACGTGGGAAGGCTTTCGCACTCGCACCGAGGCCTTACTTTGGAGTACCTGTTCCAAACTACTACGACGATCACAGTCGATCAACCTGCTCACCCTGGAAAAGGACCTTGCCAACTCGCTGGGTCTCAACATCGATGACTTCAATCAGCGGATCAAGGTTCATGACCATTTGGCCAGCTTGGTACTTCAATTTCTTCAGCAACACCACGCCTCTCTCACACCTTCCACCCAGACAGATGACATGGTCAAGAAGTACAATGATCTAAATCGTGCGCATGAGCTGCTCCAGGCTCAGTATTCAGCATCGCTGCGCGCTTCGACCTCTCCCACGATGGCAAGCCAGAAAGATGATGCAGAGTTGGTTACACCGCCACCGGTCAACCACACACAATCCTCGTCACCTGCCAGCTCCCTCCCTACAGCCAGCGCAGCGGCCCTTGATGGCAAGTCGTTTGATAGCGCGGTGCAACCCCGGATCATTCAGTCTCTTCACGGAGTGTCTTCACCGCCGTCCAAGCCGGCGGCGTCACAATTGCTCACCATGCACAGCACGCCGGAAGAAGTTGTCAAGTACTACACATGGACCAGTGACCAGCCACGCCTTTATCTCAAGCAATCGCCCACAACCACGACTTTGACGTCACTGGTCAAGTGGGCCAATCACCCGTCCCGGCTCAACGGCAACAAGTCATTAGATTCCATGGCGACGCAGCTCCTTCAAGCGCGTCAACGCATGCCGAAAGGCGACGCACCTACTCTCGGGGCGATGGCGGCTTCGTGGGGACTGGAGCCCGGCTATCTCACCAAGCTCACTGAGAAGGCATTGAGTCACCTCATCGTGACCGCTCGCCTACTCAGCGGATGAGCAGGCATCTTAACGACCTTCGTTCTCTTATGAGCCCGGAGCGGCAACCGTGTCACGGATGAGTCAAGGTTAAAACTCGTCCGTCATCTTTCTGCGTTGCATCAGTTTGATCTTGTGCTTGGTTGTGCTTGCATTGCCTTGTGCGTGATTGTCTGTGCAGCTTGTATCCATGTCGCCGCCTTATGGTAGATTTCATTGGTTGCATTTTCACCATGTTGGATGAGCTTCGCCGCTGTGGAATCTATGATGATGTTGCACAATGGCAGTCTCTGGGCAACTTTTTACACTCGTTGACCATGTTCTCTACGTGCTGGCAATACTGCTTCCCTGGACTACCACCACCGTCGATACCAGCTGATGAGTACGAATCAATCACACAACTACCGTGGTTGGGCCTCATTCTGGAAGTCTTAGTTGTGGTCCGGATTGCCCTTCAGATTCCGAATCACGCTATGTCACACTCTCAACACACTGTGGCCAACAGGTATGAGATTCATAGATGTCGGTGCACTGCCTATTTATTGATCAGTTTCTTACAACGTCTCATTTCCCAAGATCATGGCTACTTTCCGCCGTTCTTTGAAGTCCTTCACTTCTACAAGGCTTCTCTCTTGTGTGAAATCATGCACTCCACTTTTGCCGACACGCGACATCTTCGCTCATTGCGGGCACGATTTCCGGACCTCTATGACTTCATTCACGATCCAGGTCATCATCAACAACCGTGCGTCTACATCAGACTTTCCCCATGGCACACACCTTACTACGTTGGTGCGACTGATCAGGATGTTCTACGACGTGAACACTCACGCAGTCGCAAATTTCTACAACTACTTCGAAGACGTCATGCCTTCTTCGAACCCGCGCTTCACTACTGGAAGCGATCCAATACTTACTGGCTCTTCTGTGCTGTTCCGGTTGAGATCAAACTTCCCGTTTCCTCGGTTTGGGTCCAGGAAAGCAAATGGCAATACCTGCTACGCCCGCATTTGAATGCACCCTGGGTACACAGACTTCTGCGAAAGGTGGGCTTCCGGGAACACCTCGTTGATTTTCGACGTCACTCGTTGTCGTCTCCCACTTCCCTCGGCTTGCACAAACGCTTTCGACGACGACTACATCCGGATCTTCAACGGCAACTACGTCCCGACATGCTGGATGACATTCAGGCCCATTACTCTATTCTCTATCAGCTGGGATCCAATACAGGTGCATCGTTCCAAGCCATGCGTGACCTTCTGTCGGCAGCTTTCCCTCCTACTCAGCTTTACTACTTTCTGCGGCTCTCCGTCTTTGTCAACGAGCCCTTCCGCTCCAAGGCGCAGAAACTCCTCGCCCAGGTGTTACGCAAACGACAGCTACAATCACCCACCACTTTGACACAACTACTCCTACCGCCTCTACATGTCCGGAATTGGAAAGCTCTACTTGGCACATGGTTACAAAGCTGGATTGCTTCTCATCGTGATTTGTTTCCCTCCCTTTTCCTTCCAAAGATCCGGGTGGTGGAAACTCGCAGTGCCACGTTGGGCGACAAGATCTACAACTACCGCACATGGCAGCGCAGATGGACTCCTGAAACATCCTTTCCGTGTCGCTGTTTGGACATCGATGATCACCATATACACCGAGCACATGGACATGCTGTAATGGTTGATGAGTTCTCACGCATCAATGCGGACATTGACATGGAAATCATGGCCGCATCAATGAAGGATCAGTATTTCGGTGATGTCGACTTGTTACATCAACGTTTCACCACGCAACTTCGCAAACTTGCTCGTCGCTGGCATGTGCATGGTTCCAGTCTTCTTGTTGATCTGCAGCCGGTTTTGACTCAGTTGATGGACACTCATCGAGCTAACCTTCAAGATCGTACTTATTGGTCATCGACATCGTTGCAGCGCACCGTGGCTTCTCTGTCATCGTGGGTTGTAATCCCCGCGGATCATTTCCCCTCCCGCGCACATGTGATTTGTCCGTCCCTGTTTGCCATACTGATGCGGAAGACCTTTTGCTCGGGAGATGTCTTTTCGCTTTGCCGTGAATCCGCAGCATCTTTTCGCTCTGAAGTGGTAACTACGGTACCTTCCCTCCTACGTCAGCGATATGCATGGGGACTTCGACTTCAAGCACCGTTGCCCACAGCTCGCATCCTTCCAAAGCCGACCAAGGACTGGCAGAAAGCACGACCCATCATTTCATTCTTTCGCACGTGGGCAGCTCCCTTCCTCACGGTCTTCGGCGCCCTCATATTTGAACTTACCAAAGCTACTTTTCCCGACATTGCAGGTCAACTTTCAGTACAAGAACTTGTCCAGCAGCTGTGGGAGTCGCTGTCAAAGGCAGATCCCGATGAATACATCCACCTGGTGTCACAAGACCTGTCAGGCTTCTTCACGTCCATTCCTACGGAACGCTTCCACCAGGCACTACAAGTGCTTCTCCATCGGTACGATCAAGTTGTTGGCCTTCGCAGATCCTCTCAATGCCAGGAGAGGCTGAACGAGCTTAAAAACAAGGGTGCGTCGGCGTGCTCAAAGTAAACTTTTTAAGCTTGTTCAACAGGCCTCCAAAATAGGACAGAACCCGTCAAAGGCTGGCGTGGTCTTTCAAGAAAAGACTCGCGTGGCCAAGCTTCGTTTCTGTTGTCGCAAGGGTTTCCAAATTCTCATTTGTGCTTTGGAACGTGACTGCGCGGAAGAGGCACGGGCGCTGCTAGTTTTTGCTTGAGCGAAGCATAGATCAGACATGTCAGAAAACCATATTTACGCACTCGTGTCGCTCGGATTGTGGATCATTTTTTGGCGCGCGCGCGGCGCTTGTCCGCGCAGCAGGCTCAAGCCACTCTTTTGGCCCAACGTGCCC